GTCCGTAGCTTTGTCGTCGCTGCCGTATCCGCCATTCCCGCGGCCACCACTGAAGTTGCTGCCACCAAACCTTCCTCCTCATTGTCCTTTGCCCCTTCCACGGCCATATCCACGGCCGATGCTTGCTGCCCCGGCGCCATCCGAACCCGCCAACTCACGGCGGCGGAAATCCTCTTGAAGGATCGATCGCTTCACGTCTTCAAGCGAGAGGCGGGGCAAGTCACGATTGAGGTTGATGATGAGCGAGGACCATGACTCTGGGAGTAAGGCCAGCAACTTGGTCTTCTTTTGGAGCTCACTGTAGTGCAAATCAGCTCCCTCAAGCCGCGTCAACAAGTCGAAGAATTTCTGCACCCCTTCTTCCACGGGTTCATCTTCTTCAATTCTTAGTGTCGCCATTTGCCATTCCAACACCACCGCTACCGCCGCTGTTGCCGTTCCATCCACCTTGCCTGCCGTTGCCCTCTCGCTGATGCTTCATGCCTCATTTCCCCTACAAAACTCCAAAATGCATTCTGTTCCCCAATTTCAAACTACCCGCCCTATCATTTGTGTATTCCTGTGCCTCCGGCCGCCCCCTCTCAACCTCATGATTCAGGCTCATACCAATCCGCCCCCGCTCTTCCTTCCCTGCCCCTTCTAACCCCTTGTTTGCACATTTCCTACCATCTGTCCGCCCCCACCCTGTTGATTGAGTCTCTTTCTCGCACTCCTTATCCACTGCAGCCCTGTTCGCTGCCTTCCCAATAACCCCCAGCCATTTCTGTTACCGTACCCACTTCTTGCTGTTCCCGTGATTCCGCCCCTATCCACTGCCTCCTTTCTGCCTTCCCTCAATGGGCCACTCCAGACTCGTAGGCATACCACATATTCGTGAGCGCCAGCTCCTTGGCTACTGTGACTTCAAACACGGTGGCGTGGTGCCATTCTCCAGCGCTTTGAAACTCAGACATGCGGACTCACTGTGGCTTCCCTGGTCCATGATAGGATTGTGATTTTCCATGTTGAACACACTAATGTGTCAGATTTACTTGTACGATAGATCCGTTGCCATTTAATGATGTTTGTTCAGTGACAATTGTTTTGCCCTTGCTGTTCAATCTTCACTCATGTCTTCGCTCGTTTTGATAGCATTCCCGCATCCCTCAACTTCACTCCAATTGGAACACAATGATAACCGACGCCAACTCAGATCTCTTACGCTATCAACAACATCACTACAACCCTAAACCCTAATCAGGAGGCCCATCCAAGATAGGGTGGACTGACGACCTTAATGCCGCACTCTTATCACTCGTGATAAAGGTGCAAATGGACTTGGGACTGGCTCCGCACGCGGTTGTCACGAACTGGCCAGAAATTAATCGCAGGTGGTGTTGTGCTCACGGGCCACAAACTTTCACCCAATAGCAGCTCAAAAATCACGTCAAGCAAGTCCGGAGTTGGGTGAAGGACATCAAATACATGCAAAACATGTTCCCCACTGGCATGCATTGGAACCCGGTTACGGATTTCTTCAATCCGGACCCCGAGGTGAGTTGAAGAGCTGAACAAACATGAGAGGAATTGTGGGAGTGCACGAAGGTGCGTGTTGCTAATCCGGGCCTTGATTTGATCGAACGTCCAGGGTTCTGAATGCACGGACAAAATACCACTGACATTAATCGACAACTGCTGTTTTTCCCTTGTTTTAAATGCTTCAGCTTGGAATTATGGAGCGTGTGACCCAGTTGAATCGCTGGCAGCATTGCAAGAGGTGGTAGCGACGCCTCGCTCCGTGGTTCCCGCTCGCCGAGCAGATCGTGCAAAATGGAGGCGCACGCGGACGAGACGCGGCTAATGGGAACACGCTGGGGTGCGCATTCTGTGACGACCCGGGAGAGGACACGAACGACGAAGAATTGGGTGTCAACCCTAGTGTTGGCGTTCAGGACATCCCTTCCGGTCACCAGCAGGGGGAGCCTTCCACGGCTCTTGAGACCCCCTCACAGCAGCGCCAACGCGCTGGTGTGCCCGACGGGGAGCCGAATAGGGGGGCGGAGGGGTCGCAGGCGGACACGATGAGCCCTCCTTCGTAGTCCGGGGACGGGCGGGGTGGTAGGGCTACCGGAGCAGGACTAAACTCACCTGCCCCTGCCTCTCAGGTGCCCTCCATGTCATCGCCCTCTAGTGCGCACAGGAAGCGAAAGAGGAGCGAGAGCAGCAAGGTGGCACGGCAGCTGGAATCTCTCACTGCAGCTACTGAACGCGGCTTCACCATCCGCGTGAAAGGTGAGCAGCCCGTGTGGCCGTACTGTAGACAGCACCAATCTCCCTTGTTTGTCTCGTTGTTTATGTCACATCTTGAAAGCGGTCCAGATTATCATTTCTGTAGGCTGAAACCGCTGTATGCCATGTTTATGTTACCTCTAAATGTCCAGCTTACATCACCTCTATATTAAACCTTCTCCGAATGGCACACCTGTATCACCATGCTTGGCGTACGAGCTCTCACCGGCCACCGGTTGTTGTGGCAGCAGTAGCAGTGCCTGTCCAACCCCCCCTGCCACCTTTCTCACTGCCTCCCCAGCGTCTGCATGGCCTATAGACCCCTCCCCTGCTGCTCCCTTGTGCTTTGATGCATGAATGAAACGAAGGGATGTGCCGGATGGTGATGGTAGGTTTTGTCACTGGTGCAGCAACATTAGGGCTTGTCCGTTTCATACATGCCATGTGTCATATGCATGCGACAGTCCACGTCAGCACCACGCCTTTTGTGAGTGAGAGCATGCGCAGTGCTGCCATCATGCTGGGGGGAAACTCATCCCACTGCTCACTCTCCTCTTGCTCCCCATTTTGCGAGACGCGCAGATGAGTACGAAAACGTGGGAAAAGCCGTCGAGGAGGTCGAGGCGATGGACGGCCTGTCATCTAATCAGAAGGTTGGGGTCTTCCGCAGCTTCTTCAAAAACCCAGTGGAGGCGGCCGGGTTCCTACACATGCGCAAAGAGAGCCGACGCGCCTTCGTCAGTAGAACTGGCAGCAATTCCGTTAGTGACGCCGGCAACAGACTTCAACCGTGTACCATCCCCGAGTATGCTATGCATTTCAGCCAACCAACCCCATCCATCTCCTTCATCTCCCCTCCCCTTCGGAATGACAACACGGTACCGTTGCGCACACGTCCCCAAAGCACATTTGCACTTGTATCTGTGGCCGTTTGACCTTGTCTAACCACGATTTTCCCATGTTTTCTCCCTGTTCTGTGCAGTACCTGCAAAGCACCAACCAGGCTGCCATGTGCATGTCCAAACTGTCGCCTATGCTCTGCTAAGGCAGCATGTGTCTCTGTCACAGACAGAGGTGCCGTGGTGTGTGGTTGGCTGCCTAGCATCCACCTGGCCCCGCATGTTTGTTTGATGGTGTGGTTGTTGGGCCTATCAATGCATGCGGTCGACCCTTAGATTCGATTTAGGTTTGAGATATTGTCATTGATACAGGTGCTTCAATACAAGGACGCTAAGCCTGGTCTAAGCACCATTAAACTCCATCCACAACGCACTTGCTATGCGCTCACGTTGCCTAGCACCAATCCTTGAGGACTTGGTGAGACTTGGCAGCCTAGCCGTTGCAGAGCCGTTGCAGCTGGATTCTCAGGCTCTTCATTTCCATCACGATCTGCTCCTTGCAGACGAAATCAGCGCCACCCTCTCGTTTTATGAAATTATGTAGAACGCAGCATGCTTGAACGATGCAGCATTGGATGGAGTTTGAGTAAGGCCGCATGACGCACAATATAGGGAAGCGCGCCTTCAACTGCCCAAATGCGCGCTCTACAATCGACCTTAAACCAGAATGCACTCTATTGAACATCTCCTTATTCGGGGGGGTGAAACCAGATTCCTGCCACCTCTCCAGATGATACATTTGGGATCTGTATGGGGCCAACGGGTTTATGTCGTTACGAAAGCCGGAATCGGCCAGCAGGAAAGTGTTTGCAAGAAGCGTCAGTCCACGGTTAATTGCATCATGGAACAGGGTAGAGTCATGTGTGGAGCCCTGCCAGCCGACCAGGAGGTAGATAAATTCACCTTTGAGTGAGACCGCAGCAAGAACATTTTGGGAAACATTCTTATGCCAGTCCAGCCAAGATTGCTGCTCGCTCCATCGAATGCATGCTGGGATGAGGGTTCCATCCACTGCGCCAATAGCTCCACTGAAGTGTCTGTAATGGGGGTTGGATCCTATGAAGGAGTCATCGGCAAGAGTGGGCATGCTGATGTAATTGTCGTAGAGGCCACAAACTGCTAGTACAACGTCCTGAATGGTTTGACTCACGCGACTCCCGCTCCGCTGCCATGCTTCTTGCAATGATCTGTTGGATGCAGCTTGACCTACAAATTGGAGGAAGGTCAAAACCTGCTCTTCAAGGCTCACACTGCGGCCACCGGCCAACAGGCTTTTCTCCACAAGGATACTGACCAGCTTTAATACTAAGGGTGGTTCCATGCGCATGACTCCGTAAGCACGGCCGGGATGACTAAAAGGTGCGTTGCATAGGCAAAACCTCCTCTGCCTAAATCGTGTTTAGGGTTTCGCAGGAATCCTCTGGCAGATTTTATCACGGTGTAGAGGATGGTAGATTGCCAGAAATTGCCAAGAACGTCCCCTAGGATATTGCTAATGAAGGTCGTAACGGCTGGTTAACGTGCTTCTCTTTGTGGTTCTTGCAAACTACTAATAGCGGATTAAAACAATTGCTATCCATGGTGCTGATCTCATGTGTGTTGGCTAGCTGTTGGGAAATTTGAGGTTACGTGGTTCGTGAAAGGGAGTTGTGTGTGTTGGGCCTCTTTTTTTCCTTCAGAACACACAAAGGAATCATACATACCCTCGTTCTTCATTCGCGCCTAGTCATCTACCCGTCCTTTGGGCTGGCGAAGCTGTATGGGAAGTCCTTCATTTACCGTCGGAGCCTTCTCCCCCATTTACGGTTGTAGCGAGCTGGGGGGATGTCTCCGATGGAAACAACGCAGGAAACATCGTCATTTACCTTCTCCCATCGTTCTCCCTCCCTCGTCAGGTACATGCAGAACACCGCCACTGCTGAGGCCGTCATGCAGGTGGGTGGGAGGGGGGCAGGCGGCGGTGCAGGTGAGAGAGAGGGGGAAGAGGCAGTGGTGCAGGTGGGGTGGGGATGCAGCCATCTGCATGCCAGTGTCAAGCAAATGTGCATGTGCTCCCCTGCTCCCCTGCGCCCATGCCTCCATGCTCCCATGATGACGTGCTCCCGTTCTCCCATGCTCCCATGTTCCCATGCTCCCATGACCCCATGCTCCCATGCCCCCATGCTCCCACGTTCCCATCCCATGCTCCCTTGCTCCCATGCTCCCTTGCTCCCATGCTCCCATGCTCCCATGCTCCCATCCCATGCTCCCATAGTCCCATCTCATTCTCCCAACCCATGCTCCCATGCTCCCATCCCATGCTCCCATGCTACCTTGCTCCCATGATGCTTGCGTGCACTACTTGCCTGCACTGCTTATCCCTCATGCCTGCACTGCTTGTGTGGGAGAGCAGGAGGTGGAGCGGCACCTGGGCTTCCCAGTGTATGCGAGATGACTTGTCTCAAACGTCACCATGCGGGCCTGCATGAGTCCCTCCGTTCAGTCGACTCATGCTTTCCGTTGCTTGCTTGCTTGCTTGCGTGCCTGTGAGCAGGAGGTGGAGCGGCACCTGGGCGCTGAAGTGGATGCGAGGTGCCTTTTGAGTCGACTCAAACGCCACCATGCCCGTGTGCACGAGTCCCCCCTGCGTTACTTGCCTACCTGCTTGCGTGCTTGCCTGTGAGCAGGAGGTGGAGCGGCACCTGGGCACTGCAGTGGATACGAGGTGCCTTTTGAGTCGACTCAAACGCCACCATGCCTGTGTGCACGAGTCCCCCATGCGTTACTTGCCTCCATTACCTGCTTGCGTGCTTGCTTGTGAGCAGGAGGTGGAGCAGCACCTGGGTGCTGCAGTGGATGCGAGGTGCCTTTTGAGTCGACTCAAACGCCACCATGCCCGTGTGCACGAGTCCCCCATGCGTTACTTGCCTCCGCTACCTGCTTGCGTGCTTGCCTGTGAGCAGGAGGTGGAGCGGCACCTGGGCGCTGCAGTGGATGTGAGGTGCCTTTTGAGTCGACTCAAACGCCACCATGCCCGTGTGCACGAGTCCCCCATGCGTTGCTTGCCTCCGTTACATGCTTGCGTGCTTGTCTATGAGCAGGAGGTGGAGCGGCACCTGGGCGCTGCAGTGGATGCGAGGTGCCTTCTTTAGTCAACTCAAACGCCACCATGCCCGTGTGCACGAGTCCCCCATGCGTTGCTTGCCTCCGTTACCTGCTTGCGTGCTTGCCTGTGAGCAGGAGGTGGAGCGGCACCTGGGCGCTGCAGTGGATGCGAGGTGCCTTTTGAGTCGACTCAAACGCCACCACGTGTGTAAGAGTCCTCCATGCGTTTCTTGCCTCCGTTACCTGCTTGCGTGCTTGCCTGTGAGCAGGAGGTGGAGCAGCACCTGGGCGCTGCTGTGGATGCGAGGTGCGTTCTGTGTCGACTCAAACGCCACCATGCCCGTGTGCACGGGTCCCCCATGCGTTACTTGCCTCTGTTACCTGCTTGCGTGCTTGCCTGTGAGCAGGAGGTGGAGCGACACCTGGGCGCTGCTGTGGATGCGAGGTGCCTTTTGAGTCAACTCAAACGCCACCATGCCAGTGTGCACGAGTCCCCCGTGCGTTACTTGCCTCCGTTACCTGCTTGCGTGCTTGCTTGTGAGCAGTAGGTGGAGCGGCACCTGGGCGCTGCTGTGGATGCGGCCACGCTGTCCATCCACCCTGTCAGGAACGTGGCGCCCAATAAGGTGACGCCACGTGGCAGTGCTTGCAGCACCAGGGTGTTCTGGGGGTGGAAGGGGGTGTGACGGGGGCGTGCTTAGGGTGTGTTGTGCTGTCTCTTCAGCTTCTGTGCTAGAGGGATTCGCTGTGCAGATGAATGTGGTTCTGGGCAGCTGCAATCTCGTCTGCCTGTTTTGTTAGTGCTCCTATGACACCCGAGCCAAGACGCACCTCACTTGCGTCCAAGTGACAACGAAGACTGACCTAATATGTTTCCTCTTCTCCACTTATCTCCCCTGCAGGGTCTTACAGGGCATGCTGTGTGCGTCGTTTCGGCTGCCAGAATCAGTTGCATTTGCAGCCTCATAGAAGTTCCATACCCTAAATCATAAGGATAAAACACCATGATTGCCTCAATTGCTGGTTGCTGTGAGGACTCTGTCCTGACATTCAAAAGTTCTTCCTCCTCGGTGTTTTAGCCAGACGCGTCTGGATGTTTTTTTCGGGGAATGCCATGCCTGGAAAACGGTCCTATGCAGGGGGGGAAGTCGAGGGAGAGGGGAGGGAGGAGGGGAACAACACAGCAAGGGAATTACCCCTTTGCCGCTCGGCCATGCTTCATCTTGAGTTGTATTCGGTGACCTGGTGTCGACATGTCTGTCAGGGTGATCTTTTCCCACCTTCTATTTATTTAGTCAGATTGCTGAAAGAGCATGCTCCCACAACGCAGGCAATAAAAATGCGGGGAGTGTGACTGAGGGTACATTCCGCTCTGGACATGTCCCAAAAGTACATGTCCCAATTGGGTGTACCGCTCCGAACCGAACTAAACCAGAGACGCGAAAAATTTGACAATGTGTGAAGCTAGGGTGTAATTCGGTGTAATAAGATGCAGTGCGGTAGAATCGATTGGGACACTTTCTATTGGGACATGTCCAGAGCGGAATGTACCCTGAGAGAGGTGAAGGGAATGGGGGGAATGGGAATGCGTGAGTGAAGTGAAGAGATCTTGCAACCAACACAAAATTACACTACGGAGTGTGCATGGAGGAAGGGTGCCCATTATGCCTCTCCCCAAGCAGCTAGATTGCTTTGGAAGCAGTTACAACGTATTGTACCAACCAATACTCGTTACAAAAATATCAAGAAAACTTGATAAACCATCACACGAGTGCCGTACTAAATGCTGCATGTAGTGCAAATATTACCTACGAACTAGCGTAGATAAGGTGGAGTTTCACTTACGTACATACAAGGTAGCGTAGCGGAACTTACAAACACCCGCTAAAGAATAGCAGCCATGCAATGCAATGCAGAAACCGTAACGCTTCTGCAAGCATGTGGCCACGGATCAGATCCTGCCACCACTCCCCACACATGACCCACAGACAACACCGCAGTGTGGCGAAACCAGCACCTTCCTTCCAATGCCTCCCATATCACTTCTCACAACGCTCTCCTTTCAAAGCAACGCTCTCTATCGAAACTTCCCACGCACGGCACCTGCTGGGGGCTGTAACAGCATCTCCTCCGGCACCTCACCCAGATGAGTCAAAGGTATGCCGGAGGCTGTAATGGCACCACCCAGCATCTCCCCCCCCTCCAGCACCTCAACCACCACGCTGTGTGTGGCATGCGTCCTGTGGCACATCACCCACACACGCGGCTGCACGCACAACGCACGAGCCGTGACTCCTTCACGGCATTGCCTTACCCAAGAAAGCCCATTCAAGCCCACTTACTGCCCCTTACTGCCTCTTACTGCCCGCCACTGCGCGGTGTCCTCAGAGCAGGCTGCCCAGTGCCTCCTCCAGGGCCCTGGGCAACCCACAGATGCCGCACCATGGCCCCATCGGGATCCGTGAGCTCGAACGGGGCACCAGAATCACCCTCCCCCGCCACTGTTCTTACTGCCCTTACTGCCCTTGCTGCAGGCTACCTAGTGCCTCCTCCAGGGCCGCATACAACACCCTGTCGCGCTCCTCGCTTGCAACGCCCCCCCACACATGGCGCACCATGGCCCCCTGGGGCCCTGTGAGCTCCTGGTGGGGCACCAGGATCACCCGCCCCCGCCAGTGCGGCCAGCGCGCCACCTTGTTGAGGCGGTCCTGCTCCCACACGTGGCCGTACAGGTGGTAGTCGCCGCTGTACTCGCCGTACCACTGCCGGAGGAACTGGGAGGGCCGAGGGAGGGAAGGGGACAAGAGCAGTGGAATGATAGTGTATGTGAGAGGGAGAGAGACAATGGGAAGGGCAAAGAGAAGGCAATGATTTGAATCACCAACACAACTGGAGTGAAGGCTTAGAAGGACACCTGATTCTGCAACGGCCTGGAAAAAAGGACCTGCTTCTGATGCGAGCTTGAAGCTGTCGGATTACCTCCTCCAAACGGCGCCTCTCCCACAGTGATAAAAACTATAAAGCCACCTCGACCGCACACCACCGCTCCCTCTCTTCCCTTGAGAGCATGTTGACGCCCCTTGTAATCCCCACACGTGCCATCCACTCACCTGTACCCAACAACACCCCACGGCCAATCATTCCCTCACTCACTTTCCACTTGTCACGGCCATTGCCATCCCCCACACCCATTGCCATCCCCCACACCCATTGCCATCCCCCACACCCATTGCCATCCCCCACACCCATTGCCATCTCCGCTTCTCCAAACAAACCCAAACCTGCTTTTCCGACCCCAAGGCTCTCTCTCCCCTCCCGTACCCACCTTGAAGGTGGCGGGCGATCGGCGCCACAGCATCACGCCCGCATTCACATAGTCCGTGTCCTTGCGGAACAGCGCCTCCGCATCCCCAAAGAACCCCTCCCTCGAGTCGCCATTCCTTGGTATCAGAACCACGGGCCCCTCCGGCTGTAGCGCGGTGGCGGGCTGTAGCAGCAGGGCGGGGTCCTGTGGGAGCCACACCTGCCCCTCCAGAGTGTCGGTGAGATTGTCCCTCAGCAGCCAGTCAAAGTAGTTCTGCAGGAGGTAAGGGGCAGACAGAGGAGGCATACACAAGGGGCAGACAGAGGAGGCATACACAAGGGGCAGACAGAGGAGGCATACACAAGGGGCAGACAGAGGAGGCATACACAAGGGGCAGACAGAGGAGGCATACACAAGGGGCAGACAGAGGAGGCATACACAAGGGGCAGACAGAGGAGGCATACACAAGGGGCAGACAGAGGAGGCATACACAAGGGGCAGACAGAGGAGGCATACACAAGGGGCAGACAGAGGAGGCATACACAAGGGGCAGACAGAGGAGGCATACACAAGGGGCACACACAAGAGGGATATACAAGGGGCACACACAAGAGGGATACACAAGGGGCACACACAAGAGGGAGTGAGATGGGGGTGAGATGGGGGTGAGATGGGGGTGAGATGGGGGTGAGATGGGGGTGAGATGGGGGTGAGATGGGGGTGAGATGGGGGTGAGATGGGGGTGAGATGGGGGTGAGATGGGGGTGAGATGGGGGTGAGATGGGGGTGAGATGGGGGTGAGATGGGGGTGAGATGGGGGTGAGATGGGGGTGAGATGGGGGTGAGATGGGGGTGAGATCAGAACCACAGGCCCCTCCGGCTGTAGCGCAGTGGCTGGCTGGAGCAGCACAGCAGGGTCCAGTAGGGGGAGAAAAAATCAATCTCCCGAGCCTCCTGGTTCAGCCTATGATGAACAGGTTCGGCATGGGTCCAAGCGGGCGGCCCTGCGATTGCTCGCCAGGTGCGGTGCCCTGTTGTGGATCGGCACTACTGATGCGGAATGCGCGCGGTTTGGATGGAGAAAATGCCATGCCAGATGTGATGGACACGACGCCAGGTGTGATGGGCACGACGCCAGGTGTGATGGGCACGACGCCAGGTGTGATGGGCACGACGCCAGGTGTGATGGGCACGACACCAGATGTGCGACCATATGCACATAAAGCGTCTTTGGGAAGGCAGTGGAGAGAAGGGGTGCTGCTGATGGGTGAGGAAGGGTGAGGAGCATTGAGGCGGGGTAGAGAGGGAACGAATCAACCACACTTAAGGTCTGGTGAGCGTGACCTACCCCTGACTCTTCAAGAATTCGTTGGCACCTTACCTCTTGTGGTAGGGAGACATTCTTCGCTCAAGAAAAAAGAATCTCAAACATTTGAAACCAGAGCAAAGAACAGGCTGTCGCAGGGTTGAAGACGAAGCGAGCAGACACTGACAGGTTGCTTGATGGTTTGGATCCAGGTGGGGATGGAGAGGCGGTGGTGGTCCATGCGCATGTAGGCATCGGAATCAAGAAAGAAGGCCCACTCGCAGCAACACGCCAGCTGTGACTGTAGCAACGGCACCTGCAGTGGGCCATGTGTGCACGCCATGCAAGGGGAGAGGGGGTGCAGTCAATGAGAGAACATTTCTCCCAGGCGGTTAGAGGTGGTTAGACACTCACGCGTGCATTGATGAGCGTGAGGAATCGTGTACTGCACTGCATCGATGCACTGCATTGTATCCACTGTACTGCACACACACTCACTCGTGGCACCTCACTCGTGGCACCTCACTCGTGGCACCTCACTCGTGGCACCTCACTCGTGGCACCTCGCTCGTGGCACCTCACTCGTGGCACCTCACTCGTGGCACCTCGCTCGTGGCACCTCACTCGTGGCACCTCACTCGTGGCACCTCACTCGTGGCACCTCACTTGAGTGGCACCTTACCCTGGGTGGTAACCCCCTCACCTTGAACCACGACGGGTGTCTGTCTGGGGTGTACTTGGATCCGTTCTCCACCACCATTCGGTACCCGTGGCGCCGCGCGTACAACCTGACACAGAGATGGATGGGGGTGGGAGATTGGGTTGACTTGCGTTGACCACATTGATCTGATCAGCCACACCAGCCAAGCAGCCAATGCACATGTGCCTGTCCTGCGCAGCACATACAGAGATCGATGCACCATGATTGGATAGAGCAGAGCACAGCAGAGCAGAGCAGATCAGAGCAGGGAAGAGAAGAGCAGAGGAGAGCAGAGCAGAGCAGAGCAGAGAAGAGAAGAGAAGAGAAGAGCAGAGCAGAGCAGAGCAGAGCAGAGCAGAGAAGAGAAGAGGAGAGCAGAGAAGAGAAGAGCAGAGCAGCGCACAGAAGAGCAGAGCAGCGCACAGAAGAGCAGAGCAGCGCACAGAAGAGCAGAGCAGCGCACAGAAGAGCAGGGCAGCGCACAGAAGAGCAGAGACATGGGATCTTTCTGGGACCCTGTGCACAGGAATGAGCTACGCTCTAGCTGTTGCAGCAAGGGGGGGATGAAATCATACACGTCGACACGACCGCAGACAAGTACACACATTGATGTACGCACATGTTGACGGCGAGAGCGACCCAGATGTTGATACACATGAATTCACTGTCACACATACACATGAATTCACTGTCACACATACACATGAATTCTCTGTCACACATACACATGAATTCACTGTCACACATACACATGAATTCACTGTCACACATACACATGAATTCACTGTCACACATACACATGAATTCACTGTCACACATACACATGAATTCACTGTCACACATACACATGAATGCACTGTCACACATACACATGAATGCACTGTCACATACACACATGAATGCACTGTCACATAGACACATGTCGACACCATTGCACACAGGCACATGACGCTGCAGCACACACGCACATGTTGACGGCCAGGGCGACCCAGATGGGGAATTTCCACATGTTCTCGTGCCCCTCCGCATCCACCACCTTGGGCAGCCCCGAGTAGAACCGCCGCCACGCCTCCGGCATCGCCTCCCTGCCCCTCCCTCCCCCGTCTTCCTTCACCTTCGAGTTCTCATCCTTCACCTCTTCCTTCCCCTCATCCTTCCCCTCCCCTTTCCCCTCATCCGTCCCCTCAGCCTTCCCCTCACCCTCGCCCTCCCCATTCCCCAACTCCGCCTTTGAATCCCCGTTCAGCCCCCCCTCCCCCTCCCCCTCCCCCTCCCCCTCCCCCTTGCGCTCCTCGTCTCCTCCCTGCAGCCGCCTCCCCCTCCACCCTCCATGCCACCTTCCCTCCCCCTCTCCCCCTCCTTCCTTCAAAAGTCTCCCCTTTCCATCCCTCACCCCCCTCCCCACCTCTCCCCCATCCACCTCCCCCTCATCCCGTCCCCCGATCCCCCCACGCCGCCCTTCCTGTCCCCCATCGCCCACCCCAGCCCCAATACCCTCTCTTTCTACTTCCTCTCCCCCTACTCTTTCTCCGCCTAATCCCTCTCCCCTTATTCCCTCTCCACCAATCCTTTCTCCCCCTCCCTCTTCTCTCCCTCCCCCCCCTCCGCCCACCTCCTCCGCCTCCACCCCCAGCTCCCTCAGCAGCCGCGCTACAGCCGCTTCCACGGCCGCCACGCCCTCAGGGCTGTAGCGCGAGTCGAGAGTCACAATGCACCCCGGCCGCGGGGGGGCCTCCTCCCACGCCACTGCCGGCAGGCTCTGCAGAGGGAAGAAATTCCAAAGCTCCAGGCTGTCCACCCATGCCTGAGGCTCGGGTGGGTGTGGTGAGGGGAAGAATTCAGGAAGCGAGAGAATGCACAGAACAGACTGGAACAAGCGAGTCGACAGTCCCAATGCAACCAGGCCGAGGGGGACCCTCCTCCCCGCCTCCCACGCCACCGCCGGCAGCGCGTCCAGAGGGGAGAAGTTTCGAAGCTCCAGGCTGTCCACCCAAGCCTGAGGCTCGGAAACGAAGCGAGGATGGCGAGGAGAGGTGGGTGTGGGAACAATATAAGCGACGGGGGAATTTACAGAACAGATCGGACGCTCACCTCGTTGGCGACGAGCAAGCCATGCGCGACGACGAGCGCCAGAAGCCCAACGTGGATACTTTATCGAGCGGCACTGATGTGCTCACCTCGTTGGCGACGAGCAGGAATCGCACGACGACGAGCGCCAGAAGCCCCGCCGCGCAGCGGACGATCCACGGCCGCCACTGCACCGCACTCGCCGCGGCGCCTTTCTCGCATTCAGGCGGCGCCTCGTACCCTGCTTTCCCGGCGTGCGATGGCAAAATGTCCGCCGCGTGTCGTGCGAGTTTCGATCCTGCCTTATGATCGCGCGCGCCATGCACAGTCCCCAATCTCTTCCGCCAGCTCAGCAGAACTCGCGGAATCATTTTCGTCTCTGTGTGATCGCGAGTATCAACGTGATGCCGAGCCGCTGATACAGATGAAGCCGAGTCCTCAGAGGCTGATGACGGCCTGAGAGCCCGGCCCGAAACCAGCCGTCTCAGCCGAGCTACCAGATTCAACATTCAAGGCTAGATTCAAGTTTCATACTCAATATAGACACAGCCTCAATTTCAAGTACAGCCCAGGAATGCAATGAGTGAAATTTTGAGTGTTAACGTAAGAGTGTAGTAGAAAGAGCAAACGGGGGTTGCACTAACCGGACATATAATACAATCTGAGAAGCCGTTTTTTAAGCAAAAACACGGTAACATAACATGCAAATATTCTGTGCGCACCATGATTGGTGCCACACTTGGGGCAAGCAATTCCTCACGCAACGAACTACGTGTCAAATGTTATTATTGGTTCTTAGGCTACAGTGAGTAGCACTCTAGGGAGTACAACACTTTTAGGGTTGCTATGTATCCCTCATTTCCCTAGTTCACATTATTCCGTCGCGTTCCTACTTTGAGATGGTATCACGAGTAGGTTAGACTCCTTACCTAGCTCGCGCCCTAGCGCGCCTCCGCGCCCTACACGCCCTCCGTCACGCGCCCTCGCGCCCTCCGCGCCCTAGCGCCCTCCGCGCCCTAACGCCCTCCGCGCCCTAGCGCCCTCCGCGCCCTAGCGCCCTCCGCGCCCTAGCGCGCCTCCGCGCCTCTCGCGCCCTCCATCGCTAGCCTAAGCGCCCTCCGCGCCCTAGTGCGCCTCCGCACCTAGCCTGCGCCCTCCCGCGCCTAGCCCGCGCCTAGCCCGCGCGCGAGCCGCGCGCCCTCTCCGTAGCCCGCGCCTAGCCCGCGCCCGGGCCGCGCGCCCTCTCCGTAGCCCGCGCCTAGCCCGCGCCCGAGCCGCGCGCCCTCTCCGTAGCCCGCGCCCGAGCCGCGCGCCCTCTCCGTAGCCCGCGCCCTAGCCCGTCGCCCTCAGCCCGCGTCCTAGCCCGTCGCCCCAGCCCGTCACCCCAGCCCGTCACTCCAGCCCGCGCCCCAGCCCGTCACTCCAGCCCGCGACCTAACCCGTCGCCCTCGCCCGCGACCTAACCCGCGCCCTCGCCCTAGCCCCAGCCCGCGCCCTAGGCCGCGCCCTGCCCTAAGCCGCGCCCTCGCCCTAGGCCGCGACCTCGCCCTCAGCAGCGTTCTGCCCTAGGCCGCGCCCTAGCCCTAGGCCGCGCCCTGCCCTACCCTCACCCTTCGCTTAACCTGTTTTGCCAGCCCCACGCCATTCCTACTGCGGTTGGCTTCCGTTTCAGCGGGTGGCAGCCGCTCTTCCCACCGGTAGCGCGACCTAGGACCGGTTAGATCCCCACTCCTAGACTAGTTTCCTCCGACTGTCCCTAGTCTATGTCCAGCTGGCGTCTCTAGCCGTCTCTAGTCTCTCTTCTCGTTCCTAGCTCCGCTTTCTCCGTACTCCAGCCGACGCTCGCCTAGCGTCCGCTATGGACTCCTCCCACCGCCTTCGTTTCGATGCGCAGGGTCGTCCGATAGAGTTCGGCACCTGGCTCCGCCAGACTCAGCGCTACCTCACCAGTCAGCGCCAGGACGGTGCCACCCTGTACGCCCACGCGTCCGGCGCCCTCCAGGCACCCCGGCGTCCTGAGCCCCTACCTGCCGTGCCCCCCCCGACTCCGGAGGCGCAGGCGGACTACGCTCATCTCGTCTTGGCGCGGGACGTTTGGGACTCCCGTGACGCTGCGGCTGCACTCGCGCTGACACAGCTTCTTCCATCGACAGAGGCCGCTCACTTCGACGAGGAAGAGACTGCAAAGGAGTTTTATGATGCTATTTGTGCACGCTATTCCACCCCGTCCTCTGCCTCACTCAGCCGCATCCTCATGCCGTTCGTGTTTCCCGACCTCGGCTCGTTCGCGATTGTCTCCGACCTAGCCACTCACTTGCGTTCTCTTGCCCCATGCTCCCATGAAAGTGCGTTTTCACCCCCCATGCTCCCATGAAAGTGCGTTTTGACCCCCCATGCTCCCATGAAAGTGCGTTTTGACCCCCCATGCTCCCATGAAAGTGCATTTTGACCCCCCGGGAATGTCGTTTCCCGGCCCTGGAATGTTGTTTTGGGGCGGGTTTGGGTGGTTTTGGGGCTTTTGGGGGTAGGGGGACTTAGGGGGACTTGGGGGGATTGGGGGGGAGGGGGAGGGGCAGCGTGGGAACGCCAAAAGCCATCCCATCCCCCCCCCATCCCATTGCCTCCTATTCCTTCCATCTTACACTCATCCCACTCCCATCATCCTATCGCCCCCACCCAACTCCCCCCTGTTCCATGCCCCCATCATCAGGCCCATCGGTGAATCCGTTATTTCTCAAGTGGCTGGCTGCTACCACCCGCGGCTCCTCACAGGTCACCCGCAATCCAGGTGCCGCCGGGTTCTCGCATTCTGATCTTCTCAACTTCTGTCACACGTACTCACCTTGGCAACTTGTCTCGTTCGTCTGGCTGCAGCAGGGCAGCCAGTGCCGTAAGTTGTAACCTTTTTGCCACGCTGCCACCTTTGTCCACCCGTCTGTACCGCCCTGCTCCTCATCCTTTCCTCCCAACAACCTCACTATGCGTGTGCTTCCCCTTTACCCATCTCCAATCCCACCATACCCATCCTCACCCCCCCACCCCCCATCCCCACTCGCCATCCTCCACCCCAACCCCCTTCTCCCTCCAGCGGAGGTGCACAGGCGGCTGGATGGAATGCTGCAGGCCATGGCTCGCCCGCTTGTCACTTCCCCCCCATCCCCGCCAATGCCCGTAGTGACGTGGCGATGCATGGCGCAGTCCGTAGTGACGTGGCGTTGCGTCACGCAGCCCGTAGTGACGTGGCGATGCGTGAAGCTGCCAGTAGTGATGTGGCGATGCGTGGCGCTGCCCGTAGTGACGTGGCGATGCGTGGCGCTGCCCGTAGTGACGTGGCGATGCATGACGCTGCCCGTAGTGACGTGGCGCAGCCCGTAGTGACGTGGCGACACGTGGCGCTGCCCGTAGTGACGTGGCGATGCGTGGCGCTGCCGGTAGTGACGTGGCGATGCGTCGTGCAGTCCGTAGTGACGTGGCGATGCGTCATGTAGCCCGTAGTGACGTGGCGATGCGTGAAGCTGCCCGTAGTGACGTGGCGATGCGTGAAGCTGCCCGTAGTAACGTGGCGATGTGTGGCGCTGCCCGTAGGGACGTGGCGATGCGTGCCGCTGCCCGTAGTGACGTGGCGATGCGTGGCGCTGCCGGGAGTGACGTGGCGTTGCGTCGCGCAGCCCGTAGTGACGTGGCGATGCATGGCGCAGCGTGTAGTGACGTGGCGATGCGTGACGCTGCCCGCAGTGACGTGGCGATGCGTGGCGCTGCCCGTAGTGACGTGGCGATACGTGGCGCTGTCCGTAGTGACGTGGCGATGCGTCGCGCTGCCCGTAGTGACGTGGCGATGCGTGGCGCTGCCCGCAGTGATGTGGCGATGCGTGAAGCTGCCTGTAGTGACGTGGCGATGCGTGAAGCTGCCCGTAGTGACGTGGCGATGCGAGGCGCTGCCCGTAGTGACGTGGCGAGGCGTGCCGCTGCCCGTAGTGACGTGGCGATGCGTGGCGCTGCCCGTAGTGACGTGGCGATGCATGGCGCACTCCGTAGTGACATGGCGATGCGTCACGCAGCCCGTAGTGACGTGGCGATGCGTTGCGCTGCCCGTAGTGACATGGCGATGCGTGCCGCTGCCCGTAGTGACGTGGTGCAAGTGATGGCGCAAGCGGCGGCGCAGGGAAGAGGAAGCGGGAGGAAGTGGTAGACGCAGGTTATCTGACAGGGGGAGGGGATGCCGGCAGTTATTTAATAGACCCGGGGGACGGCACCAGCGCGGACCGCGCGGAATCTCTCCCCCCCGCGGAGCTCTTCACCTCGCGGAACTTCCCCGTGAGGCTGCCGCGGCGGAAGGGGAAGCGGAGAAAGGGCGGGCGGAAGGAGGTTGGGGACGAAAGGACCGATCCAGGCACGGTAGAAGGCAGTTCGGCGGGGCAAGACTCGTAAGTGCTGCCAGTAACGGGGGATGGGTTCCCTATGACACCGTACCAAGATGTGATTAAAGCGGGGGGAGGAAACGTGGACTGCCTGTACCGGTCGCGCGGCGCGGGAGAGAATTTGTACAGATGCCCCATGGGTTACGCCGCGCTTGCCGGCGTGACTGGCGGGCTGGGAAAGCCGGTTTATGTGGATACCATTGACGTGGATAAGGCGAAGGACGTTCCACAACGCGCGCTAAGATGGGGTTGAAGTAATTATCTCGAGGGTGTGATTATACGCTTTAATGGCTCGATGCTAGTTAGGTTATATAAGCGGCTTTTTCTGCAGTCGCACGTAACGATCTATGGTCGCGGCGCGGATGTGATTATACAGAACGTGGCGAGTGAGTGTAAGGGGAGAGGGCAGCGTGGGATGGGGCAGGGGGAGGGGGGTGCTTAGAGGGGCTTTGTGCATTATGGGGAAGGGGGGGGGGGGGGGGGGAGAATAAGGGGGAGGGGGAGGAGGAGGAGGAAGCGGGGGAGGGGAGGGAGGGGAGAGGGTAGGGAAGGGGAGCGAAGGGGGGGTGTGGGTGGGAGTGTTTTGAGGTTTAGGGGTTGGTGTCAAGGTGCGGCGACGGGTGGCGTATAAAGAGGGAGTTCGGGGGAAAGGTGGCAATTTGTTTCAAATCTCTTAGTGGGTTTGGGGTGAGTCGCCGTGAGTGGGAGAAAGGGAATGCGATGCGAGCTTGCCGCGGACTCCTGCGCGCGGTCTTTCCCTCCGCGTATGTCCCTCTGCGCGCATCCCTATGCGCTGTCCCCTATGGCGCCTTGCCCCACGCCGAGGGGACCATCCCCGAGCTCCCCCGCTCCGCCAACTCCCCTCCTCCCATCCCCTCGTCCTCCCCTTCCTCCCCGCTTCCCCACAACCGCTAAGTACTATAAACTCTGCCTCCGTAATTCTTGAGGCGCCTCAAAAGTCGCCTCTTATCCTGTAATTTTTTAGGCGCCTCAGAAGTCGTCTCATGTCTCGTATTTTTTTAGGCGCCTCAAAAGTCGCTCTCCGCTTCCCCACAACCGCCAACTGCTGTAACCTCTTCCCCCGCGGTTCCCACGTTCCGCCATCGCTTTTGCAGTCAGCGACCAGCGTGGCCACCACGACATGGGGACACATCGCAACGCTTCTCTCCTCCTCCCTCCCCCCCGTCCTCCCTCCCCATCCCCCTCTCTACCCCCCCTTCTCTTCCCTTCCCCAAGCTCTCATCCTTTTCCGCTGTTTTGCGCGCCTGTGTAACTGCTTTCCTTTTTTTTTTTCCACGCAGTCGGCGACCACGACATGGCGCACATTGCAGCGAACCAACCACAGCATCCCCTTCCCCCCTTCGAAATTCCCCACATCCATCTGCCTCCACAACTCCCATTTGCGCAGTCGGCGAACAGCGCAGCAACCTCGACGTGGCGCACATTGCAGCGAGTCAACCGCAGCATACCCTTCCCCCTTTTGAAATTTCCCACATGCGCTCTTCTCCACAACTCCCCTCCGTGCAGTCGGCGACCAGCGTGGCGACCACCACGTGGTGCACATCGCAATGTGCTGGCCTTGAAATCCAAACCCAACACTCATCCTCTTGTGGGAGCGCGCGCGTATGTGTGCTTGTTTGGTTTCCGCGCAGTTGGCAATCAGCGTGGTGACCACGATGTGGTGCACATTGCGGGCACCACGCGCGTGTGGATAGACCATTACGCGGTACAGTGGACAATGTTTATGGCTCTACAGACATTACCATCAGCAACTCGTATATCAACACGTGTGAGTATATGGCGCTCACTCAAGGAGATATGGAGGCGATATGGATACGCCGTCTACTAGCGAAGCTTGGGCATCCTCAACCCAACCCAGCTCCTCTCTTTTGTGACAACTAAGCCGTCATAAGCCTCTCTCACAACGCCTTCCCTCACGGGCGAACGAAGCATATTGAGGTGATGCATCACTTCATTCGTGAGGTGGTAGAGAAAGGTGATCTCAAACTCACTTATGTAAGCACCAAAGCTCAACCCGCAGATTTCCTCACTAAACCGCACCCTAAGGACTCCGTGCATGCTGTGAGCATGCTGGATCGAACGCCTAGTGGCTTGGGCACAAAGGGGAGTGTTGGAGGTTGCGTGAGGCAAGGTTTGCCCCCAACCACCGAACGATGCTCACGATTGAGTGAGGTGGAAGTTGGAAGTTTCATGAATGTGTTGGAGGTTCCAAGAAGGTTGGGTTTGCGGAGATAACTACTACAACGGGAGCTAGACTACGGGCTAGGCACGGGTGCTCGTGTGATCTCTACGTTCGTTCACTTAGTCGTTGACTCGTGCTTGCACTACTTGCTGGTTCACGGGGGAATTTGGCAAGAGTTTCACTAGCAAAAGTTCAAAAAAAAAAAAATGGTCGCAACAACATTGGCATGCAAGACTACATCAGACCTAGCAAAGCTGTTGGTCGACTGCCAGCGCAGCACGGTCGACCGCGTGGCAGCACGACTTGGTCGACCGCGCTCCAGCAGAGCAAAGTCGCGGCTTGCCAACGTTGCAAGTCCGCGGTGTGCCAACGCTGCAGCAAGGCGGCTGCACAGCATTGCACCCGCCTGACAACGGTGCACCAGCTTCGCAGGTGCGCGCAGCTGGTTGGTGCTCCACGCCTTGTCACGAGCACAGCGCAGACGCCCAGGTCGACTCCACGCCAGCGTCTGCGCCTACCAGCCACGTCGACCTCGGGATACCACTTCCGAGGTCGGCCTCGCAGAACCACCCCGGCGACCTTCGCATACGTCGCCCGGGTATCCCTGTCGACCGGGCAACCACGCCTGGTCGACCAGCTCGGTCGGTCGCCGGCTGCACAAGCCCGGCGTCCCCAATGTCCGGCGCCCTCCACCTCGGCGCCCTGCTGCTCGACGCCCAGCTGCTCGGTGTCCTACTCCTCGACGCCCTCCAGCTCGGCGTCCCCAGCCTCCCCTGTCGAGGTCGACGTCAGCCCCTCCTTCGTCGACCACAATGTTCGGTCGGCCTCCTGGTCGACCACCCCGGACTAGGCGCACAGAAGTCGGCGCCCGTCGCAGTGGCCCCTCGTGCAGGTCGACCTCCTCGTCGACCAGCTCGCCCACTGCTGCAGGTCGGCTGCACTCCCCCGTACACCCAACCAAGAGGTCGGCTACGCCCAAGCGAGGACGGGGCCTAACAACACTCCCGTTGACAGGGTTGACTTCAGAAGAATGTGCACTTTGGTGCCACATGGCAGCACAAGAACAATCGAGACTGAAGAAGAATTCGTTTAGGTGAAATTCGAGCCTCTACGAAATGTTACTCGAACATTCGCGAGTTGAGCGGTTCGAGGTGTGCGACTCGATGCATTGCAGTTCATATAAATCTGTTTGCTTTGTATTGCATGTATCATACTGAAAACGTGAATCACTTTCTAAACAGTGCATTTGAATACAAATTCCAGAGAGCTCCAATCCTTTGTTCTAAGAGCAGTAGGAAGCACATAAACGCCTAGATCTCTCTTGTTTCTTAGGCGAATTGCGTGTTTGACGGCTTGTTGGAAAGCCAAGAGTGTGCTCTACTGTTTAGTGCAACTCCTCTTTCCTGCCAACTAGAGGAGAAGCCTCTACAACAGATCCTGCCAACTAGAGGAGAAGTCAACTAGCTTAATCTATCATCCCTAGTGCAGGTCTTCTGACTATCCCCCCCTTACAGGGATGTTCTTGTTGGAATCACTGAACAGGAATGAAAGAACTAGCAATGAAAAGAGTACAAGTACCTAACCCTAGAATTGTGTACCCCCTATAGGCTAACCCACTGTAGCCTAAACTAACACAACATATATAATGTTTGACACACCCCCATAGGCAAAGTGGGGGAGAACTAGGGGTCACAAGACCAGTCAAGGCAAAGCAAGGCAAAACAAGCTCAGGGTGGATCTCAAGGATACCACACAAATTCCGAGCACAAGCAAGTGGTCACAAGACCAGTTCACATGCAGGTTTATATATAGAGATCACAGTACAACAGACTCAAGAAGTAAGCAAGTGAGGTCCAGTAGGCACAAGGCCTAGAAGAGTGCAAAAGCGCTGATGGTCACAAGGCTGAAGCGCCTTGGTGAACACATCAGCAGTGTTGGCCTCAGAGGCCACGTAACGCAGGCGAAGCTGACCACGCTGCTGCAGCTCTCGAGCGAGGAAGTAACGCAGAGCAATGTGCTTCGTTCTGTGCTCCAGTCTGTGCTCCTCACACAAGGCAATGGCTGCCTTGTTGTCGACGTACAGCACTGGAGGAGAACGAGGCTGCTCTCCAAGGTCGGTCAGCAAGTAGGTGAGCCAGCGTAGCTCCTGGGCCGCCATGGCTGTGGCGTAGATCTCAGCCTCACAACTGGAGCTGAGAACAGAAGAAGAGCGAGTAGAACGCCAAGAAACAGAACCAGAGCCAAGACTGAAGGAGTAACCCTGAGACGACCGCTGAGTAGCCTGGTCGTCTGCCCAAGAAGCGTCTGAGTGCCCAGTGAGAACAACTGGGACTCGCCCTCCAAGCACTAGCCCCATGCCCGACGTACTGCACAAGTAGCGCAACACCCTCTTAGCTGCATCCATGTGCTCCTTCCGGTGACGGCCGGGAGCGACATAGCGTGCAAGAATGCTGAGAGGGTATGCAAGGTCTGGTCGAGTGCAGGTCATCAGGTACATGAGGCAACCCACAAGCTCTGGATACGGGCCACTCGGCTCTACGGACTCATCCGAAGGCAGAGCTGAGAGCG